GCAAGAAAAGCGGCAGGTGAGGGAGATAAAGTATCACCTCAAACCAATTGCCCAGCATCAATGAGGGGAGCCGGGACTTGCACTGGCCAAGCCTACAGAATGGGCGGGCAGCAGGTGCTGACCCCCAGGTGAGTCAGAACCCCCTGCCCGGGGCCCAGAGCTCGTGTCCCAGAGCCAGGCCCCCGCCAGGCCAGAATCCACACCCAGACGCCTCTGCCACACGGTACCTGCTGCCACGTGGGGCCCGTGGCCACGCTGCCCAGCTGCTTCCTCAGCTCCTCCAGCTCCTGCACGGAGATCCTGGAGGCTGCGGCGGGGGCGCCGGCCACGACCTCCGCTCTCTCCTTGGCATTCTGCTGTAAATACTGCAGGGTCTGGAAGCACACGGCCCCGGTGTCACACGGGCCTCACGCTGTGCCCTCTGCCGGGCACCGCCACCCCGCCCCACTGCCCCCAGCTGCAGCCTCCACGTGGAGGGCGAGAGCAGGGGCTCCGCTCGCCCTGGAGCAGCAGCCTGCTCTCCCGACGCTGCCCCGCCACGAGGCGCCACGCCCCCAGATCACGGCAGGTCAGGATCCCAGACCCTGTTCCCAGTGGCTCGGCCTTTTCTCCACTCAAGACCGGCCTCCCTTGCTGCTTGAGACCACGCCCCTTTATCTGTCCCGGCGCAGTGGCCACCACGCGCCCGGCCACACGCTTCCCCGCTGAACGGACCCTGGGCCTCGTGATGCGAAAGGAAGCGCCGACCAGCCCTGGATGGCCTGGGCCGGGGCTCCTCAGACGGCACGCACTTCCCTCGGTATCACAGGTAACACAGGCTCAGTTTAGCACAGACAAGAGCATGGCCTGGACAACGAAGGACAAAGGCCCTCTGCCCCAGAGGCCACTGCTAGCGCTGTGCTCATCTCCACCGCGTTGCTTCCGTTCAGGGGCGCGCACCTCAGTGCTACAGGTGTGAGGCCGGGGCAGTTAACGGGGGGCCGCCAGGCGGGACAGCCGTCCATCATCCCTGCAGACGCAGAGAGGTTCTCTTCCTCACACAGCCACCCCCGAGCCCGGCACCCACCTCCCTGTCCTCTGTGAGCTTCGACAGCAGGTACACCAGGGGGTCAAGGTTCCTCGTGTTCTTAGATTTCAGCTCATCATATTTCTTCAGAAAGTCCTCAGGAGTACGAGAAAATTCTGCTATTTTAACCTCAAAAGCACAAACAGAATGATTTAGAGATGATAACTAGGAACTTTAAAAAGCCTTGCAAAAACTAAACCCAAAAGAAGAGTGAAGTTAAGTAGACAGAATAATCACGTGCCTCTAAACTAAAACGAAGAAAACTCATCAGGATGCTTTGTTAAACTCACCCATATTCTCTTCTGTGGTTTCTGCCACGTTATGCTTTCTAAGCCTTAGGTCAGACCATAACCACCTATGTTTTTCCTCGTAGTGTATATGCATTCTTTCCATGCACTTAACTCCTTTCCCTCTGGAATTGTTTTTACACACACTTTCAGGGGCTACGTTTTCTCACTGATTAAAATGCTCCCCTTAAAATAAATTGGACATAACTACGTGTCCTAAACTCTCTATTCTGCTCAGTAAGTTTTCTGAATTATCCTTGTGCCATCATTAGGCTGTTAAAATAAATGAAGCCTCATAATGTGTTTTTAAAATAGACTTCTAAATTGTTTTTTACTGAAAACCTGTAACTTTGAATTTTACATTATTTGAATTTTAAAAAATCCACTTTGAAGGGATTTCAATATGGCTAACACCAGGAGCTTCCTTTTTCATCCAGAGGAGAATCTGTGTCACGATGTGAACAGAAATCAGGACCATCTGGGCCTCCCTCCTCATGGGGCACAGGGAGGGCGTGGCTGAGGGTCTGGGTTCCCAGGTCAGGCTGCCAGTCCAACACTCTCCCCGAGCCTTCATTTACTCATCTGTGCAACGGGTGATGGGGAGAAACCAACGGAAGCAGAGCGGAGCAGAGAACGTGGCCCATGAAAAGCATCTGACAGTGTTGTCTGCCAGTGTACCGGCACCTCTGTGGCTGCTCGTCAGGAAGGTGAACATTGTGCCCAGTGCAGCACTGGGGACGGGCACTCACTTTGGCGCTGTGTGCAGACACAGTGGTTGTGACATACGGGGTCCTGTTCTTCTGCAGCAGGTCGATGTAGACCTCGGCCCCGTCCCCTCCGTGCACTCGCAGCAGGCTGAGCAGCTCATTGACGTCGTGGTGAATCCGAAATTCACTCATGATTTTGGCTCTGTGTTCTCCTAAAGGTAAGAGGAGAGCCATTTATAAATCAAGAGGCTATAAATTAAAAAGTTTTAAAGCAATTGAATTGGCCAATGTCAGGTCTTTGAGAAGCCAAATTGTCACAGGGCCCATCCTGGCTCTAAGGTTCCTCATGAAGACACCACCACAGCCTGCTCTGACCAGCATGTGGGGCCCCTTCCTGGGGAGACTTGCCCTCCTTGCCCGCTGCTGGGGTCTGTCATTCTCACTGGGCGCTGTCTCAGTGGGCAGCTCCCATGGGAATCAGTGCTGAGCCCCAGCTGCTCCAGCCAGGTTCCAGGCCCACTCCTCAGCTCGGGGGGGCTGGCACGTGCACACAGAGTGGACGTGGCCCTAAGGCCTGGGCCCCCCTTTCTCCTGGGTGACCCCAACCACAAATGGCCCTGGGCCAGCAGGGAGCTGCTCCCCTCAGGTGGCAGACAGCACTTTCTAGTCCCAGCTGTGCAGATACAGTGGTCCCAGCCCTTCAGGGACTCTGATCTATACAGGGAGCTCTGCACAGGCCTAAGCCTCCGCCCCTCGCGGCTCCCCCTGAGGCCCACACCTGCAGCTCCAGTTGCCTCCAGCTGTGTGTTCTCTGTGCACTCTGGTAACCAGGATGCTGCCTTTTCTCGCCCAGGCTGGGCTTTGCTAAGACTGCTACACATCTCCTATGTACTTGAGCTGGGTGGGCTTCCCCTTCAGCTCAATCTGCCCTGTCGATCAGATGTTCTAGGCTCTCCCCACTGGATCTCATTTATGGTCAAAACCATAAATGAGATCCCATCAAGAAGACAGTGGTAGCCTGCAAGGGGACTTCTATGCAGATGTCCCCAAAGGGACAGTAGTGGCCTGCAGGGGGACTTCTGTTCTCCCACTGATGACTGGTCCAATTAGCCATTATTATTAAGAGTAAGACAAACACGGGCAATTAATCATAGATTCAACAAATAAACATGAGCAAACTTTACATTCTTCACATAAACGTTTCAACGTGGCTATGCAAGGTTCATAATTTGGGATCATGAACAACAAACGACTGTTGGAAATTACAGGCAAAGTCATTTCTGTCTGTGATTTTTCTGAGGAAAGGGTCTTTCAACAGATTCTCAAAGGCTGTGACCCTAAAAAGGTTAGAATGGCTGTGTCAACGGCTCCAGTGAAGACAAGCCATGAGTTAACAGCAGGTGGGGAAGGCTTGGCACACATGCCCACAACGTGGATATTAATTTGTACCTCTACATCCAGAGACTCTAATCCTGAGTGATGGAAAACAAATTCCCCACATACAAATATCACAGTCACCTACATAAACGTCAAATACCGGCCAGAGGCAGGGTGTCTCCAAACACGAAAGCAGAACAGTTAAGTGTAGCTGGTGTGGAACTCGCCAGCATGCATACATTTTACACCAGGAGGCGCTCACAGTGACCACAGTCATGGGCACGGGGCCTGGGCTGCGGGATCCCAGGCAGCCTGAGCCCTGACTTGGTGCTTCCAGACTGTAGGGCCCTGGACAAGGAGCCTGTCCTCTGTAAGCTTCCTCTGAAAAGGGGTGAGTACTAGACCCTGCCCACGAAGCTGTCGTGGAGATTAAATATACCACCTAAGGGCCTGCAGTGTTGTTATCAGAAAAGCAGAAACAAACTTTGCTATTGCTACACGTGGTCAACCACCTGGAAACACCCGTTGTTACCCGAGAAATGGAAAACTGGAATTGAAACACTGCCAGCATCCTCAACTATCACCTTCTAATTAGTCACAGAGCAGCTGAATGAGGCACTGCGAACTACAAACAGAAAAGACAGCACGGAGCTCTCCCACTGATGGCCTCTTCCATTCCAAGGGCAACTGCTTTTACCCACATTCTACGAGGTTTCCAAGGACCGCGGGGTGTTCTCTAACAGCTGGACTGAAGACCACTTTGGCCACCTAGACGGCATGGACACTGCATTTGCCATCTCTCCACCAGTCACAAGTGGGTGGACAGGGCTCTTCAGAAGAAAGATCATTTAAGTAAATGCTTATTTAGAAACTATCTTCGTGAACCTTGACATCTGTGGTAAAACCAAGAGCGCAGACATTCCACATCACAAGTATTAATACTACAAGGAGCCTGCTGTGCCACGCGGATTTGGGGAACAATTCCTGCAAGATTAGTGGCTCTCACCTGCAGGTGGCACCTCCCCAGCTCGGCTGATCTTTTTAATGCTCCCTAGGGCTTCACCCTACTGGTCGCCACCAACGAACCCACAGACCCCGGTGATTGAGTGTGAGCTGCCGTGGGGCCCCGGGACCGGCACAACAAATCGCGAATTTCCCAAAGACCACTCGGGCTCCAGTCTGCGGACTGGTCTGGAGACAAGGATGGTCCAGAGGCCGCGGCAGCCCTTCAGGTGGGAGACACGGCGCGGGGGTCGCCGAGGGTGATGGCAACGAGGACGGGAGGGAGGAGAGAGGGAGGGAGCCTCTACAGCCGGAAGCCTGCACTGATCGGGGCCGGGAAAAGGACCCGAACCATCGGCGGGACGCGCGAGGCCAGCTCCGCATAGAAGCCGCCCCGGGACTCACCACAGGGGCGCGCCCGGCCCGAGCCCGCCAAGCCCGTCAAGCCCGCAGGGCAGTCCCGCCGGCGGCGGAAGTGGCGCTCTACGTCCCGTCCGGCCCCGCCCCGGCCGGCTCGCGGACGGTGGCCGACAGGCCGTGGCGCCGCTGGCGCTCAGGGCGATGCAGCTACCAGCCGCGCTGCACGCACGCCTGGCGGGGGCACCCGGGTCGGCCGAGCCTCTACCCGTGGAGCGGGACCCCGCGGCCAGGACCGCGCCCTTCCGCTTCGCGCCGCGCCTGGTGCGCTTCCCACGGGAGCACGACTTCTTCGAGGTGCGTGACCAGAGGAAGGAGAGAGCGATTGTGGGTGGGGGCGGAGCCGGCGCCCAGGGGGCAGGGCTTGGATGGGGCGGGGGAAATGCTTGGGGCGGGGCCTGGGTGGGCCGGGCCTGGGTGGGGCGGGGGCAGACTCCCGGTGGGCGGGGCTGAGGCTCTGGGTGGGGCCGGGGTCCTGGAGCGGAGCCCGCGGTGGAGCCGGGTCAGAACCCAGGACGCTGTCTCCCGCAGGAAGGGGACGTGCAGCGGCACCTCTACCTCCAGGATGTGCTCACGCAGGTGGGCGGGGCGCCCGAGAGGCCCAGGTGAGTGCTGTGGCCCAGCAAGGGGCCCTTCTTGCCCTCTCCGGGCCCCTCCCTCTGCCCGCCCCGCCCCTGGTGCCCGCACCGCTCCTCTGCCTGTACCACCACGGAATCATGCGTGTCTGGCCTTACCACCGACTAGCTTGTCTGTAGAAATGTAGTTGTTGTGAAAATAGAATTTGGGCTTGCAAGAGAAAATCCGAAGCTTTATCAGTCCACTTAAAGGGGAGTGGTGACAGGGAGCCCGACGTTCTTTCCGCCGTGGAATGGCATCCCCACCAGGCGTTCCTCTGCCAGGGTGCCCGAGTTCACCTGTCAGGTGGCCGGCTGCTGCCAGGTGTTCGACGCCCTGGAGGATTACGAGCACCACTACCACACTTTGCACAGAAACGTCTGCTCCTTCTGCCAGCGGGCCTTCCCTTCTGGACACCTGCTGGACACCCACATCCTGGAGTGGCACGACTCCCTCTTCCAGATTCTGGCCGAGCGGCAGGACATGGTGGGTGACGGCTTGCCCGCTGAGGCCAAGGGCAGGCATCACGGGGGCTCGTCCCTGAGCCGTGTGCCTCGTGGTGCCAGAGCCTGGGGTCAGAGTGCGGTGAGATGGGCAGCCCTGGGGTCAGGGTGGGGTGATGCTGTTTCCATTTCAGTATCAGTGCCTCGTGGAGGGCTGCACAGAGAAGTTCAGAACCAGCAGAGACCGGAAGGAGCACCTGGTGATGTGTCATCTCTACCCTGCGGACTTCCGCTTCGATAAACCGAGGAAGAGCAGAGGGTGCGTGGCGGTGCGCCGCGGAGCCACCTCCTGAGCCTAGAAAGCCTTTGCGTGCATAGACTTTGAGGGCGCAGATGCCCTCCGTTCAGCATCCCTGCCGCTAATGTTACATTTAGCTGCAGGTTACAGAAGCCCTGACAAATCAGGAGTCGTTAACCGAGAGGGGTTAAGCAGATGGGGTGGTTCTGTGTGTGGCCCCCCCGGCTGCAGGGAGGACGGGAAGGGGAGAGCCTGCCTTCCCCGGGCCTGTGCTGGGAGTGGCTGAGGTACCATCTCGGGGTCTGCCAGGCGTGCAGGAACACCACCACGTCCCTCTGCATTCACGCTTCACCTCCAACCCGCTCATCACCTCCCTTCCATCCTCATGTGGGCCTTGGGGAATTTGTCCCAGGCCGTGAGCCCCTCACCTCACGTGGGGCCGTCGGTTTTTCCCTTGTCCCGTCAGCATATGTTTACAAACTCGACGGCACAGCCACGCGTTACGTGTTACTGTTCAGAGCGCGCTGTGGGGAGTACCCCTGGGAGTAGCCTGTGAGCGCGTGTTGCGTTACTTTGCCTTTTCATTAACTGATTTCCTCAGGTGAAGCTTCATCACCATCTAAAAGTTGAATTGATTGAAGTCGTTTCAGACTAAATTGTTGTCCCCAGACAGAACTTTGCTGTTCACAGTAGAATAATCTGGAGAACCGACTTCAATGTGGGAGATTTTTATAAGGCCTTGAGTATAAGGTAACTCCTTCCTTTCCAAGGGATCGTTGAGGGAGGAGCCCTACGATGCTGGATTGAGACACTGGTGTTAAGGAGGAGACGCTCAGTATCGTATGGTTGCTTTTAGTAAATTTCTCAGTAATTGTAATGGAGAGATATTTGGTACCGTCGGTAGTCATTTACCGTGTGACACCATAAATATACTATTTTTAAAAGACAGAGTGTGACCATCATATCTAAATTCATAGAATATGGTTTACGTCATATGAACATTCGCTTTTCCACATTCTGGTAGCCTGAAAATTACTCTCTGATGAAACAGTCATAAAATAGCTTTGCGAACTCAGTCCTGGGGGAAGCGGGGACTGCAGGCACTGACACCTGGGAGCGCCCTCACCACCTGTCTTCCCCAGCCCAGTCATGCCCGGTGCCGCTGAGCAGATGTTGGCAGAAGCCCTGCGGGATGACGGGGTGCCGTCGGAAGGCGACGCCATGGAAGTCTGCTCTGAACACGTGGAGCCCCCACCAGGACCCGCGGGAGAGAGGCGGGCCTACAGCCACAGGTCAGTACCCGGGCAGCTTTCTGAAGCAGGTTCTGAATCTGTGCTTCTCCTGGAGAATTCCGGGTTTGACTCTGGGCCAACCCAGTTCCCGCTGAGAGAAATCGCCCCTGGGTTGGAGCGTTGGCTTCAGCGGGAGGTGAAAGCCAACCATCCTGCTGCCCTCGGACGACCTGGAGCCCCAGCAGCACAGGACTGCAAAACACTGCCCCCTTTGACCGTGGCCTAAGCTGGGATGGAGAGACCCAGGGTGTAATTGCTCGAGTTACAACCTACGAGTCTGTGTTTCTAGTATTAACTGTGCTTTTATCGGGGATAAAGTTGATTTCAAATTTAATTTGGGGGTAAATGTTGGAGAAATGGAAAAAATCGCCAGTAAATTCAGACCGACAGGGAGATGAACTCGTGTCCTTCAGCTGCCCTCGCACAGTTGCCCAGAATTTGGCCTGAGAGTGAGTCCCAGGTGCCACCTGGAGGGCGGGTCACAGGGAGCCTGAGCTGGAGCCTGGACACATTCTCCGGGGTGGGTGGTTGGCAGCAGGTGGTCGGCGGCAGGTGGTCAGTGGCAGGGAGCGTCTCCCACTGGAAGCAGGTTTGGAGCAGCTGGCCTGCTGCAGCCGGGGAGGGGAGAGTCCGGGTAAGAGCCAGCTGACACCCTGCATGGTTCGCGGGGGAAGAGGGAGTGTCCAGAGCAAGAATCAGACCCCCGCGAGCCCACAAGACTGCCAGCATGAATTGGGTTGTTTGTGAGCAAAAGCCTAGCAGTTTAGCGTGAAGGTGTCTTTCATTTCAGGATACCATCTACCATCTGTTTTGGTCAAGGTGCCTCACGAGGATTTAAAAGGGCCAAGAAGAGAAATAAGCACCAGTAACGGCGGTTCCTCTGCAGCAGTGTTGCTGGGCTTTTCCTCCCCGCCGCGGGGGCCCCAGGACCCTGGCCTGTGCTGCCCTCCATGTCGTGGGCCTGTGACCAACTGAACGAGGCCGGTGGCTATGTGGGAAGCTGTGGGGGAGCCGCGGATTCTGGGAAGGGCCCCCTCGTGCGGTGACTGGGGTGTGGGGAGCAGCCCCCGACCCCCAACGTCCTTGTGAAACATGTGGAGTAAATGGTTATCATTAACGGTCTCTGGTCCACGTTCTGTGTTGGGGGGAGGGAGATAGCAGCAGTTACTGGTGAGGACTTTGTTTCCAGCGGCCGCTTCTCAGAAGGGGTGACTGGCTTGCGCAGCTCATCAGGGCTTCAAGGGAGATGCCTGTGGTCCTCACTCCCTCCCGCACTTGGCAAGGTGAGCAGAAGCCTTGGGTGGGGCTGGGGAGCCGGGAGGAACCCGGGCCGGGGAGGGCGGAGCGCAGACCTAGGCCGGCAACTGGCTTGGCTCCGATTTGATGACATCTGACTGGACCTGGGGAGTGGGGACCCACCAGCCAGCTGTCCCCCTGTGGTGCCCGGTGCTGCCGTGCCCGCCCGAGGCCCCGCTCGGCCCATCTCGCCCGGCCTGCTCCCACTCTGGGCTCCAGTCTGGTGGTGGCAGCGGGTGCTGGCCTGCGACCACCCCCACCAAGCCCTGCGCACAGCTCTGCAGACACGGGTCAGGGCTGGTGGGTGTCAGTTTGAAGTTGTTCTTTGGAAGATTACTTGTCTCCTCTTTGTCTGTTGTGGTTCCACTAAGATGTCAGGGGAAGGTACTCATTGCCCTACCTGCTCATTGTTGAATGTTTTGAATCTGGGTTTTAATCTTTTCAAATATTGTCTTTACTCCAATCTCTGTTCCTTCTCCTTCTAAAACCCCAATCAAATGTACGTCAGACGCCCTCCCTCTGTCTTGTAACAGCCCTTCTGTATTTCCCGTTCCTTATCTGTCTTTGCTACATTCTGGATAATTTCTTAAGATCCACTTTTCAGTTCACTAATTTTCTGATCCGCTGTATCAAATGTGCTGTTGAACTCATTCAGTGTTTAATTTCCATAGTTACAATTTTCAATTTTTTAAGTTCTATGTTGTTTTTCTAATTTGCTGGACTTTATAGCTTTTGTTTATCATATTTTCAACTCATTCTTTTCTTTTTTAACATGTTAAACTTATTGTACGTTCTCTGATTGTTAACATCAATGTTTGAAGACTGTGGGTCTGATTTTTCTGTCCATTTTTTCTGTTGACTCACTCATGGTGCCTTGTTTCCTGATGAATTCTGTGATTTTTGGCTGTGAGCTTTATTTCTTGGAATTTTACCTCTGGAGTTTCTCTGACATGTCTGGGTTCTTCCTGAAAAAATCAGTATTTGCTTCTGCCATGTGACTGGGGAGCTATGATCTAGGACCACTTTCACTTTAAAATAAATTAATAGGAAAAAAAGAGGGACTTCCCTGGTGGTCCAGTGATAAAGAATCCGCCTTCCAATGCAGGAGATGTGGGTTCAAGATCCCACATGCTGCGGGGCAACTAAGCCCACATGCCACAACTACTGAGCTTGTGCACCACAAACTACGGAGCCCACATGCCCTGGAGCCCATGTGCCTTAACTAGAGAGGAAAAAAAAAAAAAAAAACCCACACTACAACTAGAGAAAAGCCTGCGCATCACAACAAAGAGCCTGCACCTCAATGAAAAGATCGCGCATGGCTCAGTGAAGATCCTGCATGCCGCAACTAAGACCCGACACAGCCAAAAAAATAAAGAAAATAAAATTTAAAATTAAAAAAAAGGGCTTCCCTGGTGGCACAGTGGTTAAGAATCTGCCTGCCAATGCAGGGGACACGGGTTCAAGCCCTGGCCTGGGAAGATCCCACATGCCACAGTGCAACTAAGCCCGTGCGCCGCAACTACTGAGCCTGCGCTCTAGAGCCCGGGAGCCACAGCTACTGAGCCTGCGTGCCACAACTACTGAAGCCCACGTGCCTAGAGCCCATGCTCCGCAACAAGAGACGCCACCGCAATGAGAAGCCCGCGCACCGCGACACACAGTAGCCCCCACTCGCTGCAACTAGAGGAAACCCACGCACAACAATGAAGATCCAATGCAGCCAAAAATAAGTAAATAAAATAAATTTATAAAAATAAATAAATAAAAAATTATTAGGTATGAGTTTTCACCCCCAATTCACTTTTCCACAAATGCCTTTTCTGTGTTGCCTTTACACAACCTTAGCCAAAGCAGAACATCTGAGTAACGGAAACAGACCCCTCATTTCACTTATAGCAAGAGGAATAGAAATAAATATACACAGAAAATAAAAAATTATTAGGTATGAGTTTTCACCCCCAATTCACTTTTCCACAAATGCCTTTTCTGTGTTGCCTTTACACAACCTTAGCCAAAGCAGAACATCTGAGTAACGGAAACAGACCCCTCATTTCACTTATAGCAAGAGGAATAGAAATAAATATACAGACACGGCTCTTCTCTGGTGGCACAGTGGTTGAGAGTTCGCCTGCCGATGCAGGGGACACTGGTTCGTGCCCCGGTCTGGGAAGGTCCCAAATGCCGCGGAGCGGCTGGGCCTGTGAGCCGCGGCCGCTGAGCCTGCGCGTCCGTAGCCTGTGCTCCACAACGGGAGAGGCCACAGCAGTGAGAGGGCCATGTACCTCAAAAAA